TGTTATGAAAAATTTAAGGAATTACAAGAATGGAATATGCAGGAATTGTGTGACACCATAAAAAATCATAGGCATACAGGAAGGAGAAGAATCCCAAGATAATGGCATGGACCAGATATTCAACAGAATCATGGAAGAAAATTTCCCAAAATTAAAGAAAGACATGCCTGTACAAATACAAGAAGCATATAAAACACCAAACAGACAGGACCAGGAAAGAAACTCTCCACAGCACATCATAGCAAAAACACTAAATGTACAAAACAAAGAGACAATACAGAAAGCTGCAAAAGAGAAACAACAAGTCACATACAAAGGAAAAACCCATTAGGATTACAGCTGACTTTTCAGTGCAAACTATGAAAGCCAGAAGAGCCTGGACCAAAGCACTCCCAGTTTTAAATGACCACAGATGCCAACCCAGACTACTATACCAGCCAAAATGTCTATCATAGTCGAAGGGTAAAGAAAAATCTTCCATGACATAAATAGGCTGAAGGAATTCATATCCACAAAACCAGCCCTTCACAGAGCTTCTGGAAACAATAAGAGCTGAAGAAAGGAATGACTATACCCAAGGGGTTGTGGAAAGAAATCCAATGAAGGTATAACTGTGGAAAAGTACAGCTATATCAAGACTGTAAACAGAAATAAAAAATGACAGGATTCAATATTCATCTTTCATTAATAACTTTAAATATTAATGGACTGAACTCCCCAGTCAAAAGACACAGACTATATGAATGGATTAAGAAACAAAACCCATCTTTTTGTTGTTTGTAAGAATCTCATCTCACTTTCAAGGACAGACACTATCTCAAAGTGAAAGGATGGAAAAAAAAATATACCTAGCAATGGCACTAAGAAAAAAGCAGGTGTAGCAATTCTAATATCTGACAAAATAGACTATAAACTAAAACTAATCAGAAGCGACAAAGAGGGTCACTTCATTTTGATAAAGGAACAATGAATCAAGATATTACAATCATGAACATATATTCACCAAACTCTGGTACATCCAACTTCATAAAAACAATACTACAGGACTTTAAGACCCAGATTAACCCCAACTCATTAATAGTAAGGGACTTCAGTACCCCACTGTCTCCATTAGATAGGTCAACAGGGCAGAGAGTTAACAGAGAGACATC